GGATACTTAAAAACGTACGTACATAGGTTGGAACCTATGTCAACTTATTCCATTATTTCATCTGCGATAGGAGCACGGGGACAGGAAATTTGATAACATTTGGAACATACACTACATGCAAATGCAAAACCAGAATCTATGCAGAAATGTTATAAAATATTCTTTGGGAAACACAATTACTTAAAATACTATGAGATACAATTTACCATACCTTCTTGAAAAACTCTTCCAACATGCCAGTGTTTAAATTTTCCATTATTTTGACTGCAACAGCCACGTCTTGAGAGCTGATAAGCAATGCAGCCAGTGATGAACCCGAAATACTGATCAAATGGTGGGACTAAAGAAAATGCATAAAATAAATATTTAAATTTAAAATAAATGAATGAAAATGCATCTATTAAAAATGTCAATGACAGTGCTGCAAATGCATATGTTACATTTAAATCTTAAAATTAATTACAAGAAAAAGGTCAAGTTATCCTTGTAAACAGGCTGTGGAGGCCAATACGGTTGTGAGATGTCGAGGCTACCACATTTTCTAGACAATTGGCTCACCAATGGCAGTGAGGTTGTCAGCCTTATCTGCCGATCACCCTTTACCCCCAGGAAGATTCCTGGTACTTATTTCTATTAGAGACTGAGTTGACCCCAGGAACATAGTGCGGCTGGAAGGATTAGATGAATTGAAAAATCCAACAATCTCATCAGGAATCGAACCTCCGACTTTCCGGCTTGTAACATAGTGCCTCAACCAACTGCACTACCGAATCACCCTAAAATTAACTATAATAATATTAAATATATCTGCATGAAATATATCCCAAAATTGCATCTAAAAATACAACATTCAGTACTGGTGGTCTTCTATAAGATTTTGTAACAGTATTATGAGTGGGAACGACAAAGGAAGTGTAGGACTCTATAGCAGGACACAAATTTACTTTCACATGGGAAAATTAAAAAATTTCAGTACTCTCTGATCCACTGTCAAACATATTTCAACACAGACTTGCCCAGCACAAAATTATTGGAAGTGGGAACTGTAGATGTATTTTTCAGTTTACTCTTGTAAAGCTATACATTACATGAAAAATCTCAATTTTCAATAATCCTTTTATATTATTTTCAAATAATATTATATTCAAATACAAATTCAAATATGACCACTTTCAGCAAGAATCTAAGAAAATTGATGGCTTCGCCAAGTCTGTAGGCCACTGAACAATTTTAATGGAATTAAAATGTAGCCTTTTAGCTTCACCATGACAACTTGATCATTACTTAATTTTTATAGAATTTGGTACTGGGGTGTTCCACTAAAATTTACAAGCCACTTGGTTATACTCAGACAACAAAAATGGTGACTACATGAGGACCTACATGTGTTTCTGAATGCAACTCCAGCGTAACTAGATAAATATTTAACAGTGTGAAAATGCTTTGGATAAAAGTTGTAGAGAAAAATGTATGAAATTTTATACCCAGAACACTCTTTCCTCCAAGTCTGAAAGTTTTATAAATTATTAAAAGGGAGCACATGGATCAGAATTGCTATGCTATGCATACATCTATGCATCTATGCATCTGCTGATGGCAGACTACATTCTGTAATATATACATACTCAAAACCATAAATAGTACTGATTATAAATGGTGTTTCATTGCAGTTTTCTACTGCAGATCTTGAGAAATTTTCTAACCTTGCAAAAAATTTATGTCCTTAAGAAAATTCAAACAGATAATCCAGATGCTTTTGTAGTTCACAGGAATGGTGCAGTCTTAAATATATGATGTGATACAGACACCACACTAGGCCGCGCCATAGCTCAAGTGGTGAGTCGCTGGCTTCCCACCGCAGCGGCCCGGGTTCGATCCCGGGTCTGGTCAAGCAGGACAAAGTGGTGCTGGGGCTGGTTTTCTCCGAGTACTTCGGTTTCCCCTGCCAATCTTCATTCCACCAAATTCTCCATCATCATAATCACCCGGGGCAGATTACAATAGGCCAATCAGTGACCACCATGCCAAGTGGACCCAGTTGGACTCCACCCACTACTAAGCGAATTAAAAAAAATAGACACCACACTCTAGACCACTATTACTAGTTAAATAAATGATACACAATATAAATAGAATTATATAATTTAAAGAATGTCAAGAATAATTCAGAGTGAAAAACTGCAACCTGCAAGACACTTACAGCATTTGAAATATATCACCTGGCCTTCAAAGGATTTCTATGTGTAGACTTTTACAATTTTTCCAGTTGCTGAAGACAGAAAGTTTCCTCTGTTCCATCTAATGAATAAAGTATGGAATCTCTTACATGCACACGTGTATGTGTGTGTGTGTGTGTTTATATATTATTATTATTATTATTATTATTATTGGAGGGGGTGGGTTTCCCCATGCACCGCGACCAGTGGTCTATTGTACGTCCCCCTGTGATATTCTACCAGTCTCTATACCCTACCGATACTGGTGCGTGCCATCAGTCCCGACTCAGCCAGCGAGTTCGGCCTCTACTGGCTCAGCGGTATCTAGATGCTTTCCACATCTACCAGAGGCGTTAGAGACTATTGTTGGGCGGGAAATGTCCTTACAAATTTGACTCAGAGGTCTCCTTGAGACAAGAGGTTCTTTTACGTGCCGTAAAGCTACGACACGGGACCCACGGCTTAAAGTCCCTCCCGGAGGACTTGTTCCCTGAATTTTTCCGCCCTTAAAAATTCCACAACCTCCGCTGGGTTTGAACCCCCGTACCTTGAGTCATGAGGTAGGAACGTTACCCCTAGACTACAGAGGCCACTTTATATATAAAGTCAAGTTATGTACACACGTATAGAAACTCATCCACTCTTAAAAAACACATTTGTAGGCTGAGCTACAGAATATATTTTCTGCAAATTAAAGCCTGCCTCTTAGAGACAGTTATTACTTATAAACTGGTAGAGCTGAGTCATTAATATTAACTACAATATGAGATTCTATACTTACTGAAATTAACAGGAAAAATGAAGTGGGAAGTTTTGCAAAATCTTCTGGTGTCATAGTTTCCAGCCTGCCAGCTCTAATGCTTTCCTTCATCTCTTCATTCATATTTTCATACATCTGCATAAGTCTGTTGGGCAATACATAACCTAAACAAGAAATTGAGCACTTAAATCTAAAATTCTACTGACTGAACACAAAGTCTCTTGCTATTCACAAGCAAAAAACGATTTTAAGACATTTGGATTTCAGCATTGCAGCACTATTGTCAGATGATTTCAACTATAAACATCAAAGCATGCAACTGCATATTTGAAGTGGTCAGACAAGGATGTCTGGTAGAAGAAACGACAGGCAATGCATTTTTCAGGCAGAGTGTCTATCAATGCACTTGATAAACATGTGACTGTCAGCCAATGCTCTTTCAAGACTGACAGTACTAAGCACTGATACTAGGATCATTAAATCACAAAGAATTACAGTGAACAGTTTAGCTCTTTTTGAAGTTTGAGCACATTACAAAAGTTGTGATGTCACTTGTGAAATTTACTCAATACCATAAATTTAACAATCACGAGTTTTATTTTAATCTTCTTTCTCATAAATTCATGATGCCTAAAGGAACATCTTACAACATGAGGTTCTATAGCAAATCTGTGAATACTTTTGACACATTTCTCAGCTTCACGGCTAGAAATAGAAATGTTCATGAATGAGAAAGACAATGTTGTGGCTTAACTTTGTACTGAAAAATGGCTTTATTATGTGATATCAGCCAGCAAGTAAGTGCCTTAAATACAAAACTTCAAGGTCAACATAAACTGATTTCTGATATGTTTGGAGCTGCCAGAGCTTTTAAAATGAAGCTGAAATTATTTCAAAAACAGCTGGTAAATGTTAACCTCTATATTTTTTTTCCTTTGAAATTCTCCATAAGCATGGATCATTAACTGTTCCCTTTTCAAGTATTTATGCTGTATAAATGATTCCTCGTATTTGGTAACACATATACAAACAGGTTTCAAAATGTATGTAACAAACAAAATTCAAGTTCCAATCAAGAATCATTGATGTGCACATCTCCCCTTTTCATGCTACATCCCCTGCCCATCTTATCTTCCTCAATTTTTCAATCATATGGAAACAAACGTTGATTCTCTTGCAGAGCAACGTTTCACACTAATATGGCATGTTTCAGCAATTCTGGTTGTAAAGTTCAGTTTCATGTTAGCAGTTATGGTGGAGATATTTTAATGTTCCAGTCCTTGTATCATGCTGTTTCTTTCAGTGTGACCCACCTGCCTGAAAAGTTGTTCACTCCTGATCAAGATTATACAGAGTTTAATGATCGGATGACTGATTAATGTAAAATTGGAAAGGATCAAGATTAAAACTGAGCATCTGCTACATTTAAGTCCAACCCATGATGACTACACCAACCTGCCTAGTGATGAGATAGCTATAGTTAAACATCAGCATATTGACTTTGAGAAAAGTCACAATAAATCATGAATGTGTAACTGATTCAAAGCAGGATAGATCCACAGTATGCTACTCTTTGTAAATTACCTTCACATAACAATAAATTCCATACTGTGGCACATAAAATTTGCTTATGATATTAGTGTCTTAATTTCTTGTAAAAATTTTGATGATTATTGTTCACTGTCAATTTTGTCTTTCCTGCCACAAGTAACTGGTTAGCTGCTAATAAATTTAGCCTAGAGCTTGATAAAATATGAATAAATGTAACATAATTTGTAATAAATAATTGTGCATAGTATGCATGAAATATTGTGCACAATGAAAAATATGTAGAAGACACATTAATTACAGAGTTTGAAATTCTGCAATTGATCAACTAAACAAATGATACCTAAGGTAAAAAAAAAAAGCACATTGTTCAATTACAACACATTTCATATTTGCAATACTGATACACTTAAAAATGTATTTCTTTTCCTTAAATTATGCAGTATGGAATAGTATTTTTAACAATTCACCTAACAGCAAAATCATACTTGCTTTAACAGTGAAAATCAAACTATATTTTGTGGAAACTACGATATTTTACATCAAAATATATTTAAAAGATTAATCATTCTACCTCTTCCATATGAGCACATGAAAGCTAAAGCTATCCTTGTAACAGGCTGTGGAGGCCTATAGAATTGAGATACATTGAAGCTCCCACATTTTCTAGACAGTCAGCTCACAGTTGGTGGTGAGGTAGTCGGCCTTACATGCCAGCCACCCTTTATGCTCAGGAAGATTCATGGCACTTATGTCTGTTAGAGGCTGCATCAACCCCAGGGCCATAGTGTCACTTGAAGTACTAGGTTAATTGAAAAATCCAGTGACCTCAACATGAATCTAACCCATGACCTTCCACCTTCTGGTATATTCGTAGTCCTTCAACCAACTACACTACCACATGCCCCCAACGATTACATAAATTTCCTAATGAACTTTATCTCAAATAACATGGAGTATTTATGATTTATGGTAAAGTCTGTTTTATATAGTTTTTATGATCACATAATACCGTTAAAATAATTTTATGTCAAGCCAATATATTTTATTTATTTTCATATACAGGGGTAAGTCAATAAGTAAGTTACAAATGGATATAGAACTTAAACAAATAAGAGAACTGATTTGAAAAATGCCCTTATTTCTCAACATAATCCCATTGTAGGCCACACAATAGCTCAAGCGGTTAGTCGCCGGCTTCCCACCACGGTGGCCTGGGTTCGATCCCGGGTCTGGTCAAGTGGGATTTGTGGTGGACAAAGTGGCCCTAGGGTGGGTTTTCTCCAAGCACTTCGGTTTCCCCTGCCAATCTTCATTCCACCAAATTCTCCATCATCATACTCACCCAGGGGAAGTACAATAGGCCAATCAGTGGCCACCGTGACGAGTGGACCCAGCTGGACTCCACCCCCACTAATTTCCTTGTACATTAAGGCATGTGTCCCATCATTTCACAAGCCCCTGAAAACCAGCAGCATAAATTTCCTTGGGCTGCTGTCGGAACCAGGCGGTGACTTCCCTTTCTACAGCTTCATGGTCAGGAAAAGGTTCAGCCGAAAGATGATGTTTAAGGGGGCCGAACAAATGGAAGTCGCTTGGGGCAAGGTTAGGGCTATATGGAGGATGATCGAGGACTTCCCACTTGAAATTTTGCAGCGTCTTATTCGTCTTGTTGACAGTATGGGGATGCACATTGCCATGCAAGGGCAACAGAAGACTGTGAGCATCTCTTTCTTGGAGGATGGTGTCACTTTAAACTTTTTTTTGTCAGGTGACGCAGGATGTTTCCACTGCACTGACGGGCGCTTTGTCTTGGGCTGGTAATGGTGAACCCAAGACTCATCACCTGTGAAAATTTGGGCTAGCATACCGTGTCCTTCATCGTGGTAGCGATTGAGATGCTGTAATGCCAGACCCATTCTTTGCATTTTGTGTTGTGGGGTCAGCATGTGCGGCACCGAGCATGCACAGACTTTGTGAAAACCTAACCTGTCGTGCATTATGAGGTAGGCCAAACAGTGTGAACAACAAATAGCAGTGGCTATAGTGTCTATAGTTAGCCTTCTGTCTGCTCGGATTAAGGCCCTTTGCACACGGGGCCACTGTGGTCACGCCACCATTAGTGGTCCTTCTGCAGGAAGCTCCAATTTTATAGCCTTTTGTACATGGGACCACCGTGGTTGCACCACCAAGTGGCGCTTCTCCTGGAAGCTCGAATTTTATTTGAACAAAAACGCGCAACCAACGCCATAGAAAAGTAACAGTCAGTGCTGAAAATGGAGTTGGAAGAGGTAGTTGGTGTAATTACGTTCGTGCATTTACAAAAACGCCGTAAAAACCGAAGATTTTGGATACGTCCAATGTTGCACGATAGATCTATGAAAGGTGTATTTTACACTCTGTACAGTGATCTTAGAAATAATCCAGATAAGTTTTTTTAATTTTGTGCGCATGAGTATTGCCTCTTTTGATGAGTAACTGCAGTGTTTAAAACACAGACTAACTGGTGTTGATACAACTATGAGAGACAGCATACCACCTGAAGAAAAACTAGTTGTGACTTTGAGGTAAGTAAGAAAGTTATAACTACATTAGAATAAGATGGTTTATTGAGATATAACAATACAAAAATAATGCTAGTTTCATTTAATATTACACTGATTTTATTGAAGTATAGAATTGAGAGGATTTAGTATTAACTAGACAAAAACGCAATGAAACTTATTTTTGTTATTAGTAAACATTGCGAAATTCAATCATTCCAAATTCAGCAGAGGAATCACTTCCAGTTGACAGACTCTGCACTGAAGTTGAACGCATTTGATGTGCAGCTGTTGTAAGTGGTGTTAAAGTGTATTGTTGTTGCTGGTGGTGTAGCTCATGATGGTGTGTTCGTTGGTCGCATGTAAAATTTGGTGTAACATTTGAAGGGCCAGCAGTCGAAGAAGTGGCTTTTTTGCCGGCATTTTCAATCACTTGCATAATTTTCATTTTAACAGAAAACCGCATGCATTCAGGAACTTCCTTCAGAGGCTTTAATAATAATAGAAGAAAGAGATGATCACAATCGTTTTCGAGGGCATTTACTCTGTCTTCTCGGGACTGAATGCTAGATTTCAGAACGCCTAGAATTTCCTCTACATCTCTGGACACCTGCTCAACTTTTCGCTTCTTATTTTTGTTATCTAATCATGGTTCGGCCGAAACTGCCGGTACCTCTCCAGTATCATCAGAAACTTCGTTGACGGGTTCTTCTTCCACGTTACTGGAGGTGTTTTTGAGAGTAATGACTGTATTTAAAAAAAGACAGCTGCTGGTAGTACACATATGGGGGTTTTTCTTAAGGCAGGTGACCCAGATTTTGCTTTTGCTAGTCTTTTACATTCCCTTGAGTAACAGTCTCTTAGACTTTTCCACTTGCGCTGCAAACCTCTGCCTGTAATAGAGACATTGTACCATTGATAATAAAAGCTGTTTATATCAACTGACACATTTATGTCTACACTGTATTCATCGTGATTCGTCATAAAACAAAATTAAAATATTGAAAATTTATAATGGGGCCTTGCGTTACACACACACACACACACACATGTGAGCACTCAGTTTTTATTTA